GGGGCAGTGCAGAGGGAGTTTTACTCTGTATATAACCCCCTGTCCCTTGGAGTGTTTGATTGGTGGGAGGGAGAAAGACGGTGTGGCTGTCGCTGGGAGAGAAGGGGAAACAGGGAGAAATCTTACCATTTGGAAGAGGAGACTGATGATGACAGCTATAACTGTTCTTCCTATGAGTCGTAGGACCAGGAACTGGAAAAGCACGCAGATGAGGGAATGAAACATCTGGAAACCTGTTCAGTGGAGCAAACGGGGGAGTGAAAGAACCAGACAGAGCGAGAGAGCGAGACAGACAGAGCGCGCGAGCACGAGCGAGACAGACAGACAGAGCGCGCGAGCGAGACAGACAGAGCGCGAGAGTGCGAACGAGACAGACAGACAGAGCGAGAGAGACAGACAGAGAGAGACACAGCGAGACAGAGAAAGACACAGAGAGTCAGAGCCATTTACAAAGCCTTGATCATCCCTTGCCCAACACCCCACACCCCCACCCCGGGAGCCCACCCAGTCCTCCTGGGGCAGACGGGCAGGAGGAACGGTCCCGGCACAGGCGGAGAAACCCCAGAGGGACGGAAAAAGGTGGCGTCACGAGAATGAGAGCCGAGTCCCCCTGTCACGCCACCCATACCCCGCACCGTGTTGAACAGCCCTGGCCTGCATGCACGCCGCACGCCGCGCGCCCCCCCACCCCCAACCCCTGCTGCCTCCCGCCCCACGCGAGGGAGAACTGGGGACAGGCTCACCGAAATTGAAGTACGCGATCCATAGCCCTAAGGCCGTGTTGTAAAAGTGGATAACGTGAGGCTTCGATCCGTATAGAAACTGACGATGGAACAGAGCAAAGGGATAACCTGGCAGGGGAGAGAGAGAGGGGGGGGCGCGGTTACCACTGAGAGAGAATCTTACCATCGTCCCCCCGCCCCCTTGACACTCGATGGTGTAACCATCACTGAATCCTACCCCCCCCGGTATCAACATCCTGGGGGTTACCCATCGAGCAGAAACTGAACCGGGGAACCCAGCCCCATATCAACCCTCTGGCTACAACAGGCTGGGAATCCTGCAGCGAGTAACTCCCGTCCTCACCCCCACAACCCCCCCTCAAAGCCTGTCCAACCATCGACAAGGCAGGAGGGAGCAAAACGAAGCAGCCCCCACCCCCATGCAGGAGGTCAAGGGTTGGGGGGTGGTGTCAGCGGATAGTTGGGAACCCCACACCCCCTCACCCGCAAGCTCCCCCACCCCCCGCTCCCCATCCCGACTCGGAAATATATCGGCCGCTCCTTCGGTGTCGCTGGGCCAGAATCCTGGAATTCCCTCTCTAAGGGGCATCGTGGGTCAACCCACAGCACATGGACTGCAACGATTAGAAAAGGCATCTCACCCCCACCCCCTATCTTCTCAAGGTGGGGGCAACTAGGGACGGGGTGATAACTGCTGGGTCCAGCCAGTAGGAACTGTTTGCTTGACCAGGCTTACGTTCCATCTGAGACTTGGGTCTCTGTCCTGGGGCATAGGCCAGGAATTGCAACTCAGCAAGCATAACACTGGATAGTGTGCTCTGGCAGGCACTCATGGTCATAAACATTGTGACTGACTATCAGCGGAATACTCAGCACCTTTGCCCTGGACTGTGACTATACAACGTGCACCTCAGACTTAGGACAGAGCAATTAACATCATTTGCTGGTGCAGGGAGATATCTGTATACTGACTGGTGTCTCTCAGTCCCCTCTCTCTCTCTCAGGGAGATATCTGTACACTGAATGGTGTCTCAGATCCCCACCCCTCCCTTTCTTTCTGTCATGGTGACACACCACACTGGATTGCCACAGTTGAAGGTAACAGCTCAACATCACCTTCTCCAAGGGCAATTAGGGACAAGCAATAAAAGCTGAGCTGAGCTGAGCTACTCCCTGCCACATCCTCCGATCGGATGCGAGGACAGATTAAACACTCTGACATTGACCTGAGGAACAACACTGTTGTGCAAGTTAGACAGGAGGGCTGTCACATCAACTCACGCTAAAACCAGCGATAAAATCAAACAGAAATGAATTAATCAGCTCTCAGAGCTGCACTCTCACAGATAAGGCAGTCTTATCTATCAGTATCGTGGCAGCAGAGGAAAATAAAGGAGTTTGCAGCATCAGCTGCTCTCTGGAGACAGCTCTGGCAAAGTCAACAACAATAACAAGCTGTGTTTGCCTAACTCCCACAAACTCAACAAACTACACCAATGCCCACTGTATGAGGGTTGGCACCGAGTGTGCACCACACTCTTGGAGGGTCGGGCAGAGGGACTGGGCGCTGTTGGAGGGTCAGTGCTGAAGGAAAGGGGTCAAATATAATCAGGAGGTGGGCCCCACCTGTAAATCGGCGTTGCCCTCTTAAGAGGGTCGTAGTGGGCGTTGCCCTTTTAAGAGCCGCCAGTCCCCCGCAACAGAACCCCCCCGCCCCAAAAGCCGTGGTCATGTTCAAGAAACGGCTGCGCATGCTCCGGGCCGATCGGAGCCGGCAACGCGTCTGCGCAGTCCCACGCAGGCTTCCGGCAGGCGGCAGGACGACTGCGCACAACCACGGAGCCTTACGGCAGCCGGGGCCGCGTCTGCGCGGTCTCACTCATCCTCCCCGGCAGCCGGCGCTGCGTCTGCGCACCTCTACGGGCGGGGCGCCGGCCACCGGCCGCCGGCAACGCGTCTGCGCAGAAAAGCGGCTCCGGGGCGTGGCCGGTGGAAACGGTGGCGCCGGGGTGGGGGAGGCGGAATAGGTAGGTAAAGGGAGGAGCGGTCCCGCCGGCCGCCGCCGTAACAGGGCCGTTATTCGCCACTTCCTCCTCCGTTTCCAACTCCCTACCCATGACGATGGAGATGAAGAGCCTGAGGGCCGCCTCCGTGGCTCCGAGCTGAGCGGCCGCCGCCTGCAGGCCCCATCCGACCTCTCCTGTCTCCGAATCCGCCACCGCCGCCATGAGCACCGTCCCCCTCCCCCACACCCCGTGGCCCTTTGGACGGGGCCACCCTTCCTTGGCGACCGGCACCTGCCAGTAAGGCGGGCTCCGATTGGACGGCGCCCGGCCGGTCCCGACCACGCCCGCCGGTGGGCGGGTCCCCCGGTAAAACCACCACCCACTTTATGACGTGCGGGCCAAGTGGACCCCGCCCAGTCCGTGCGCATTACGTTTGCGGCCCCGCCTACTTCGAACGTTGGATGGTGGCTGGCTCCGCCTTGCTTTGTGACGCACCGTTCCAACGTTCTCTTCGACGTCACCACGGTTGGCCCCTCCCACGTTTGGGACGTCAGCGGCGCCGGTCACGCCCACTCCAGAGACAGGAGGAACTCCAGATGCTGGAGGATCTGAGAGAGCGAGGTGTAGAGCTGGATGAACACAGCAGGCCATGCAGCATCAGAGGAGCAGGAAGACCGACCTTTCGGGCCTGGACCTTTCTTCAGAAATGGGGGAGGGGAAGGGCGTTCCGAAATAAATAGGGAGAGAGTGGGAGGCGGATAGAAGAGGGATAGAGGAGAGGATAGGTGGAGAGGAAACAAACAGGTCGAAGAGGCGGGGATGGGGCCAGTAAAGGTGAGTGTAGGTGGGGAGTTAGGAAGGGGATAGGTCAGTCCAGGGAGGACGGACAGGTCAAGGGGCCGGGATGAGGTTGGTCGGTAGGAGATGGAGGTGCGGCTTGAGGTGGGAGGAGGGTATAGGTGGGAGGAAGAACAGGTTAGGGAGGCAGGGACGAGCTGTTGACTGGTAGAGTACTGACCTATACCCTTCCTAACTCCCTACCTACACTCACCTTTACTGGCTCCATCCCCGCCTCTTCGACCTGTTTGTTTCCTCTCCTCTATCCATCTTCTATCCGCCTCCCACTCTCTCCCTATTTATTTCAGAACCCCCTTCCCCTCCCCCTTTTCTGATGAAGGGTCTAGGCCCGAAACGTCAGCCTCTCTGCTCCTATGATGCTGCTTGGCCTGCTGTGTTCATCCAGCCCTGCACCTTGTTGACCCACTTTATGACGTGCGGGCCAAGTGGACCCCGCCCAGTCCGTGCGCTTTACGTTTGCGGCCCCGCCTACTTCGAACGTTGGATGGTGGCTGGCTCCGCCTTGCTTTGTGACGCACCGTTCCAACGTTCTCTTCGACGTCACCACGGTTGGCCTCTCCCACTTTTGGGACATCAGCGGCGCCGGTCACGCCCACTCCAGAGACAGTAGGAACTGCAGATGCTGGAGGATCTGAGAGAGCGAGGTGTAGAGCTGGATGAACACAGCAGGCCATGCAGCATCAGAGGAGCAGGAAGACCGACCTTTCGGGCCTAGACCCTTCTTCAGAAATGGGGGAGGGGAAGGGGGTTGTGAAATAAATAGGGAGAGAGGGGGGAGGCTGATAGAAGATGGATAGAGGAGAACATAGGTGGAGAGGAGACAGACAGGTGAAAGAGGGATGGAGCCAGTAAAGGTGAGTGTAGGTGGGGAGGTAGGGAGGAGATAGGTCAGTCCAGGGAGGACGGACAGGTCAAGGGGGCGGGATGAGGTTAGTAAGTAGGAGATGGGGGTGCGGCTTGAGGTGGGAGGAAGGACAGGTCAAGGGGGCGGGATGAGGTTAGTAGGTCGGAGATGGGGGTGCAGCTTGAGGTGGGAGGAGGGGAAAGGTGGGAGGAAGGACAGGTCAAGGGGACGGGATGAGGTTAGTAGATAGGAGATGGGGGTGCGGCTTAAGGTGGGAGGAGGGGATAGGTGGGAGGAAGGACAAGTCAAGGGGGCGGGATGAGGTTAGGAAGTAGGAGGTGGGGGTGCGGCATGAGGTGGGAGGAGGGGATAGGTGGGAGGACGGACAAGTCAAGGGGGCGGGATGAGGTCAGTAGGTAGGAGGTGGGACAAGGGGATAGGTGGGATGAGGTTAGTAGGTAGGAGGTGGGGGTGCAGTTTGAGGTGGGAGGAGGGGATAGGTGGGAGGAAGGACAGGTCAAGGGGGCGGGATGAGGTCAGTCGGTAGGAGATAGGGGTGGGGCTTGAGGTGGGAGGAAGGACAGGTTAGGGAGGCAGGGACGAGCTGGGCTGGTTTTGGGATGCGGTAGGGGGAGGGGAGATTTTGAAGCTTGCGAAGTGCACGTTGGGCTGCAGGGTTCCCAAGCGGAATATGAGGTGCCGTTCCCGCAACCTTCGGGTGGCATTGTTGTGGCACATGAGGAGGCCCAGGATGGACATGTGGTCTGAGCAGTGGGAGGGGGAGTTGAAATGGTTGGGAGGTGCAGTTGTTTAGTGCGAACCGAGCGTAGGTGTTCTGCAAAGCGGTCCCCAAGCCTCCGCTTGGTTTCCCCGAACGGGA